CCACCAGCTCCCCACCCTGTTCATTCAACACAAGCCTAGTAATAAGTTAACATTTTTTTTTTTTACATTTAATTTAGCATTTATAAAATGGTGAGATACAAAAAGGCTTTAGAGGCCTATGTAAGCGATCCACAAAAATATTTAAAAATTTAAAAAGAGCAACAAGCTTAGAGACAAGTGTAATTTCGATCAGACAAATAAATATTTCAACAGAATATATTTAATTTACAGAATATTTTTTCACCGCAAGGGGGGCATGGCTCTAAAGCCATTTTCACACACAAACTACAGGCCTGAAATTTTAGCTGCATCTGAGATATTCAACTTTAACCAGCCAGATTGCAAGTACAAAATCTATATGCTGGTCCCATGTGAGAACAGTCTAGGTACATTAATTATTCACTTAATATACATCAAGTGAGTGGTGTCATGTTTCCTGGCTGCGCTGACCAGGCACCACCCTCAATTAAACCAAGCACATTGCCAGTAGTGAGAATGTACCTGAAGATGGTTATGTGATGCAAACGATCACCTAAAACAAGACTGAATGCTGGCAAGGGAATGCCTGCATATGCTCCTAATATGGAAAGGCCTCCATGGCTCTGGCAGTGTGGGTTTGGGCATTTTCCTGCTGAAAGAGATGCTGCTGGTGTACTGCTGCAAGAATGGGACAAGTAAAGACTGGAGCGCCTCATCTCGATACTGCCATCTAGTCAGATTTCCACCAAGAACACTCGATCAGACATGGTGCTCTCATGAACAAGACTGCAGCAACACATGCCAGCATCCAGCATGCGAATAGCCTGGCCTTGGTCAGTCAGTCAGTTGCAGCATGGTGGGACACATGACAATATTGTACATACAAAGGGTTTTTTGCATTCTGTGATCACTTGGCTTGAGACTGCACTAAATTGAGCCAATTCATAGGAGTTCAAATGACTTATTTGTGTTCGATAAACAAATCACCAATCTCGTTTGAACTGAGAATATGTTTGGGCTTTCTAAGACATGCTGAGAAAGGGGATTTAAAGCAAATATTGAGTCAATATTTTACAGCACAAAACATTTCTTTCTTTGACTAGCATAATTGCTTATACTTAAATGTAGGTACAGAATAATGCAACAAATTTAATTTAATAATTGTAATAACCATTACAGGCTACAGGTATCATAAACTGAAATAGACTGAAATAACTAGAGACAGAAGTTGTGTATAAAAAAAACAGCAAAACACAAAAACCTGTCTAGCACAGTATAATAGTATGCTAACACTCTGTGTTTACTAAGCCATTTTAAAATCCTATATTCAGCCACTGTGATGACATCTGGTATTTGATTTGTATACTTTTAATAAGGCATTTTTATTTGTTTGATATTGTTTATGTTGAAACTGAAACTGAGACACACACATATATCACTTTGTTAATCAGCTTTTATTTAATTAAATAATTCATATAATTATTAACAATCATTTAATATTTAATTTATAGGTTTACTTCTCTTTGTTTTATTGCATTTTTTATTTTTATTTTAAAGTTAGTTTTCATCTTTATTGAAAGGTGTTTTGTCATATTATATTGGATACTATTTAACTATATACAATTCTACATATTTAAGATAATACATTTGAGATTATGCTTAATTTAATAAAGAAATTTCGCAACCTTTGGGATAAGAAAAGTATACTGAATCTTATCTTAGTAATAAAGCACTGAACACACATTTTGTCGTTGAACTATACAGTCAACTATATAGCATATAGCCAATTAGCCACATTATTAGTACTGGGTTTGAGCCCTTTTTGCCTTAAGATCTGCCTTTATTCTTCATGGCATACATTCAGTAACTTGCTGGAAACATTCCTTAGAGTTTTTTGGCCATATTTACATGATAGCATCACACAGTTGCTGCAGATTTCGAGTTGACTGCACTGCAAATCATTCATTCCACCACATTCCAAAGGTGCTCTATTGGATTCAGATCTGGTGACTGGAGGCCATTTGAGTACAGAGAACTCATTGTCACATTCAGGAAACCAATTTGAGATGACTGAGCTTTGCAACATGATATGTTATCCTTCTGGAAGCAACCACCAGAAGATGGATACACTGTGGTCATAAAAGGATTGACACGGTCAGCAACAATACTCTAGTAGGCTGTGGCATTTAAACAGTTAGTAGTTGGTGCAAAGTGTGCCAAATAAATATCTCCCACACCATTATACCACCAGCAGAATGAACAGTTGGTACAAAGGATGAATGGATGCATGTTTTCATGTTGTTTATGCCAAATTCTGACCCTACCCTCACATCACCAGCTAACATTTTTCCAGTTTTCCATCGTGAGCCATGCCACATTCAAAGTCACTTAAATTACATTTTCCCCCCATTTTGAAGCTCTGTTTGAACTTCAGCATGTCATTCTGACCACGTCTACTTGCCTAACAGCACTAAGTTGCTCCTGTGTTGAGCACATTGGGTTGGCTGGTTACATAGTTGTGTTACTGAGCAGTTGAATAAGTATACCTAATAGAGTGGCCAGCGACACACACAGACACACACTCACCCCATAGAAGAGGAAGGTGGGTTCACATTTCCCTCGATACCTCTCCAAAACATCAATGCTGTCTGCTTCAGCCTGCATCAAAACACACACACACACACACACACACACACACACACACACACACACACACACACACACACACAATTTCAAAGGTCCTTCTCTGAAAATTTTAAATTCTTCATATTTTTTATTGACCCTTCTTACTGTGGCAAAATGAAGCAAGTCATCACCCAGTTCATTCTTTATTTTTCGCAGGAGACTAACCACAGCACGACAGGGACCACACCATTGCTGATACACATCTACGACTGCAATGAGAGAGTCAGCAACTGATTGTGTGCGTGTGTGTGTGTGTACAAGACAGGAGGACAGAAAGGAGGTGTGGTAGGCTGGTACCATTATCACACTGAGCACAGGGGGGCAGCAGAACACAGCAAATAAGTAATGACGATGCCAGGAGTCCTTCACATCACGCTGTAACATCTTTACAACAGTTCTCGTGGAGCGTTCATTTTTATTAGGACAACAGCTCTTTTACTGATGAAAATCTTACCTGTTAAACCCTTGGTTGCAAGAATCTCTTCCCATTGCTCTTGGTTTGTGACGGAAGCCTGGATATGAAAAGACAAACTGTTATCCCCAGAGATGATAAAAGTAGCTTTAAAAAAAAAACACAAAATCACAAAAACACAACCTGCAGCGTTGCCTCCTTTTTCTTGCCTGCCATTTGTTGGGCACTCGTAGGTAAACTTAAACAATATATTTAAACTAAAAATATAAAACTACTGAGCGCAGAGTAATATGCTAAAAAGAAAAGGATAAAGTTTAATTAGCTAAAATGCTAACACGCCGAAATGGTGCTCGCGCTTGTTTGGCCCCTTGGTTGCTAAGCAACGCTGCCTTCCGCTTCCCGGAGTCATCCCAGGCTCCGACTGTTGCTTGTGCTATCTTCAATAATTAATGCTAAGGCAGGCCACATTTTCCTCCTGCCAGGTTAATGTATTACGGCAGTAAAAAGAAGGCATCTCTGATCGGAGGCACACAAACCTGTTTAACTTTTGGATCCAGTTTTTACATGGAGAACTGCAGAAAAACCTCTCTATCAGCGGACCCTGCGGGCTCATTAGGAAAAAAACAAAAGCACAGGAGCTTAGCTACCGCTGTGTTACACGTAAGCACATAGCTTTTATTTATTCATGTGTATTATATTCTATATCAATAATTAATAATCTGTTTTCTTGTTGATTTGTTTACAAAGGTTCATACAAGATATAAAACGTCTTCTAAGGGGAATTCAGGGGTTCAATGTTATTACACTTATAAAAATAGCAGAAAAGCTAAATCAAAGTGAAAAACACTGTGAGCTTACCACTGTCTAAATCAATGACTGTATATAAAATATATTTTATACAGTCTTCAGTTCTTTGTGCCGTTTTTTGTTTTGTTTTTTTAATTTGTCAAGCCACTTAACACTGACCTATGAATCATTCAAGCTTAAAAAGGAAACCTAGCTCAGGGGATAAACCAGTCTTGTGTCTACACATAACAGAGAACTAAGAACCAATTTTAAATTATATCTTTAGGCATTTCTTTTACCGACATCTTGTTGTTAAAAAAACACATTTGTTACAATTTCTTCAGTCGAATCTATGAATACTGGCAAAGGTAACACAGTTTTACATGCATAAAATAGTATTTTTGCACCTACAAGGTGATTACCAAAAACTTGACATATCTCAGCATGGTGTGTACGGCGTGTCTTTAAAGGAAAGTGGGCAAGTAGAGGAACAAAGAAGAAATGCCAGACCTAAACCACTATCTACAGCAGACGAACAGTATACTTGTGTCCTTTAAAACTGGGGAAAAGTCCAGCAAATACCTGACACAGGACATGAGAGATCCATCTGAACCTCAAGTTGATCCATCTATTGTGTTTTTAAGGAACTGAAACAGGGAGAAAAGGCTGGGGTATTTAGGCCAAATTACACAACAACTGGACTGAAAATCGGTGGCAAAAGTTTAAACATCGAAATTGGGAAATTTTTGGTTAAAATCACCAATAGTCTTTATGGAGAAAGAAAATATTAAGAAATAAGGGTGGTTAAAGATTTTTGCACAATACTGTACTTTGACCTCCTAAGACCTGGCGTCCACATATGTGGACATCACATTTTGGGATGTCTAGACCAAAATACCTAATTTTTCTCTACAAGGGCCTGATATCCACTTACAAGGACATTATACTGCCACTGTTCTATGAACATTTAAAACGAATGTCCTCATATGTTGATCTCATTTTTCTCAGAAACCAAAATTAGGTAAAAAAAGAAAAAAAGAAAAAGAAAAAAAGAAAAGGTAATTCTTTGTTTTTACATTCATCAGGTCCCAATCAACCCAAATAGCAAAGAAAAATTAAATATGCATGCCATGAAAGAGTTCGGGTCTTAGGAAGTTAAAATATGTGTATGTTGATACTAAAGACCTTTAAACCAATAAGATAAGAAAAACTATACAGTATATTCTCTAATTATTTGGCTGTGAAGGCTGCACGGTATGGTATATAGAGACTTTGCAGTCTGTTTTCAAAATAGCAATTAGTTTCCTAAGGTGAATTTAATTTATGTGGTGTAAGAAAGCAGGCTCAGTAAGTAAGTTAGCAAATCACCAGTGTATTCATGTCTGCATTAGGAAAAGTTAAATGCAAACTGTACATCTGGTCCTTTGTATTCCTGGATAAACATGTAGTTAGCAGATTAAGGTGCACAAGCAAAGTGACTATAGCTACATTTTAATGAATATGTTTAGTGGATTTAATCGATTCTTATGTACAGAGTTAGATTGTGTCTTCACCATCTGTAATTACCAGAAAATAACATTTTGTCAAGATTTAATTTTGGTTTTTTTTTGTTGTTCTGGGTAATCCTTATCTGCCACGCAAACAAACCATTAGTCAAACCAAAGTTGTGCTTGCTGTTATTGTAGGGAGCTGTAAGCTTATATCAAGAGTTTAACATTGACAACCTGTGTGGGTTGCGTTTGATCGCAGTAGATTGATAATGGTAGAGAAACATAAGCGGATGGCAAAACCAGAAATTATTTACCAGTTTAATACCAGCAAATGCACAGAAAAGTCCTTTGTATCGGTTTAGTCTGTTGATGTGTAATAGATGATTTTGCGCTACATTTGTCATGTAAATAAATGATCTTCCCACTGTATGGTATGTGGGTGTGGAACAGATGTCGCTTCTCTGGGACTGCATATGAAGCCCAGGTATACACAGGCCCTGTGAATTGTTTTGTTAATTGCTATGCTGCAAATAAAATTAAACAACAAAAAAATTAAATAAAAAATACCTTTGTGCACATTTACCAGCCATTACCAGTGATTGAGTTGGGCAGAACAAAGAAAAACAATACTTGGATTCTTTATTAAATTTTTTAATGAATATTTAAATGAACATTTAATAGTATTCCCCCAGCCTTTCATGGCAGGTGGCCACAATCCTGGTTCTGGCAGGGTTTCTTCCTCTTAAAAAGGAGTTTTTTCTTCCCACTGTTGCCAAGTGCTTGCTTAAAGGATTTTCACTGTATTATTTTAAGGTCTCAACTTTACAATATAAAGGGTCTTGAGCCAGCTGCTGTTGCAATTTGGTGTTAAATAAATAAAATTGAATTGAAATGGTGTTTAATTGCCTTTTGCATTGAATTTTGTGGAATCACATGTTTTGTTTTGTTGTGTTGTGTTTTTTTTGTTTTGTTTTGTTGTGTTTTGTTTTAACTAAGTCCTTTGCTTTACACGACTCTCTCATGAAACATAACCAAAATAACTGAAACTGTGCTCTGCAGTGATGTGGATTAACATGACCTTGACTCTGCAAACACAGCCTATAAACATCTGTTGTGAGTCATGATCATGAGTTGGAGAAAGTCTGTAACCTCAGTTCATCCCACTCTGTGTAAGGTGTGTTTGTTCCTTGAGTGTGAAAAGGGACACGGTCTGCTGGCTGCCTGTTTGCCTGTTGTGATTATACCTGTTTTTGTTGTGTTTTATGTGCTGGACATTCTAGTAGAATGTGAGTCTTATATAACAAAGTCATTATTATCATTATTGTTGTTGGAATAATTAATAGTTTCCCTAGTATTTATTTTCTCTGCCCTTTGTCTCACTTAGACTTTTGTTCCTTAGTCCCACTGTGTTTCTTTGTTCATTGTTGGTGTTGACTGTGTTTGTTTCTTTGGGTCTTTTCATGTTTTACTTTGAAGGGTAATTTTCCTGCATGGTCCGTTTCTTGATCATTTTCACCTGTCATTGATTGCATGTTCACATCTCACCCTCTTCTGTGTCTAATCTGTAATCACATCATTAGATACACGCAAGTACCTGGTTGGGCCTTTTTTGCCTTCAGAACTCCCTCAATTCTTCAAGGCATAGATTCAACAAGGTACTGGAAACATTCCTCTGAGATTTTAGTCCATATTGACATGATAACATCACACAGCCATCAGAAGTTGGGTAGGTATACTGTGGTCATAATACTGTGGTTTGCTGGGCTTGGTCGGCAATAATATTCAGGTAGGCTATGTGTAAATGATACTCACTTAATTAAGGGGTCCAAAGAGTGCAGAGAAAACATACCTGACAACATCACACCGCCATCATTAGCCTGAAACTTTGATGCCAGGCAGGATGGATCCATGCATTCATCTTGTTTATGCCAAATTCTGACCTATTAGCTGACAGGAGTGGCAACTGGTGTGGTCTTCTGCTGATTCGGTTTGCTGTGTGGTCAGCAATGCTCTTCTGCACACCTTGGTGTAACTTGGGATTATTTGAATCACTGTTTACTTATCAGTTCAAAGCAATCAGACCATTCTTCTCTGACTTTAAGATAGCGTTTTCACTCAGAAAAATGCCAATCGCTGGATATTTTCTCTCTTTTCGATCATTCTCACTTGAGATGGTTGTGTGAGAAAATGATATACTCAACGTCTTGGCAACAGCAACACCACATTCAAGATGACTTGAATTAACGATGTTCTTTGGATTTATTCTCTATCTCACCTGTGTTTTGAATTCCTGTTTACTTTATGGGCTTTGGGGGTTTTTTGGGTTTTTTTGGGGTTTTTTTTAGGTCTTTGGTTACTTACCGGTTGGTTTACTAAGCCAAATCCTCTATGCCATATCATATCACATACACTGTAGTCCAGTAGTATTGTAGACTCCAGATGACAGCTTACAGAACGTTTGGACTGAACCCAAACCACCAACCTTTTTATTACATTCAGCACTTCCAGTAATGATTTTGTTGTTTCTGCAGTACCACATTAACTTGGTATTTGAGTATTGGTTGGACAGGATGAGGCATCTAAAGACATCAACTTGGACTTGATGACTTGCATTCTTGCAGTGTATTTGCAGCAATAGACACTAAAACCCTCTTTATTGTTGCATCAATTCTCACTTTATGAAAGAGGAATACTGATGAACTTAGGTGCCATTTTTAAGCAGACTGATCTATTCCTGTTTCCCTTCAGGCCTATTACACAAATGAAATTAAAATGATTAGCTTTTGAAACATTATCCACTGGCCCTCATTTTTGGTATTTCATTCACGCTCTTTGTGTACTACAAAATTTCCCACCATCCCACTTTTAACTCTTTAAACTCAGACTGGCACTCAGGTTTGTGTTCAGTGTTGATTTAGGCTGAAACTGCTTCTTATGCACTTTTGAGGTAAAGACCAAAGGGGCATTGGTGTTGGAGCTATCCATACTTTCTTACTTTGCGCTCTCCTGACGCCTTTAAGCGGCTGCCCTTCAACTGTAACATTTTATTTGAAAGTGAAATAGGTCCTCTAAAGAGATCAGACCACTTCTGCATGCTCTTCCCACATGAATTTCAATGAACTGCTGCACTTAAGCGGTTCAGCTCCACAGCCTCCTCCCTCACAAACTAAGTGAGCCCAGGAAAAACAAGCCTTGCAATTGGAGTAATTTTGTAAAAGGACGAATCGCATCACACTGTGACAGTAAGTGAGAAAGAGAATTATAAAATGAGACGCTCAAAATGAAATGCCAGCTTCCTTTTATTTTAGCGACAACAGCTGTACAGTTTGTTGTTTTGCTCCCACTGTGCTGTATGTGGCGTATGACAGATTTCTATTAGTAACCCTGTGTCTCGCTCTGAGCTCATTACGTGGCCAGATGGGAACAACAATCACCTCCTTCCATCCCCACAGCTGTGACAAGGTCCTGACACGTCCACAGAAATAAGATTCACACAGTGGGTAGCATGCAGTCCTGTGTTTCTGTGCTGCGTTTCATCATGAAGGAGGGTGATTGCTTATGTTCTATCAAGTTGATGAGAAACATTGATTTGATGGTTTAGTCTCATATGTCCAATTGAAATTTTAACCTTTGTACCATCAAATGCCATCAGTAAGGTCTGCTGCTGGCTGAATGATGAACAGATATGCGTCTGCCCTATACTCACTCAACACGGTAACGATGTACTGATCCCTAAATCAATATGCCACATGGTTGTTTGTGTAAGATGGACCTACTTTGGCTTGAAGGATTCACTGTTTATATCTAGATATGTAGCACCCTGGGATTTTCCCCCTTATGTTGCGAGTATTCCTACAAATCTGTTTGCATTAACCTAACTTGGAAGAAAATTGTCTGACTCATTTAGGTTTCTCAAGCAGTCCCAGAGAAACTCCTGAGTATTTGTCCACTTAAATTTCATCTTAAAGTAAAGGCTTTTTATATCTCGGCCTGAAAACTTCACTGACCCTTGACTGAATTCTGAGAACTTCTTCCTGCAGGGCATAAGAGTCTCTGCCACGAACAATTTCTTTGACAGACTTTGAAGGTCCTTGCTTGAAGCTGGTTACCATACTAATGCTAAGGGCTTCTCTGGTACAATACAGGTCATTTCAGCGTCTCAGCAGACCCTCAGTCCCTGTGTGAGCTGGAAAAAGGAAAGAAAAAACCCACTTATCATCCTCCCTGGCAGATTTCTGTTAATCTCTCCTCTTCCATGAGAGACGCAGTGGATTTGAAGCCACTGCATGCTGAAGATTAATCTCCATTAGGACATCTTAAGCGTAGAAGTCATATTTAAGCCCCATTAAAGAAGAATTCCATTTATTTTGTTTCTTTCTTCTTTTTTTTTTCTTTTTTTTTTTTTACCAAAGGCTTACCAACCTCAAAGCTGAGGCCCAAATCACTTTGGTCTAATTATTGAGCAAAAAACGTATGAAATCCCAGTTTATCTTTGTCTTTGTGCCTTTAAGACATTTTTTCAAAAATGACAAATATCTTTATTTACGGTACTTTGCTTTTCTCTTTTTTTTCCACCTCTTTTTGGTTGCTTAATGCATGGCTGTAGCTAATTATTGATAGATCTACAAATAATTGTTTGATCAATTGCCAGAGCTGAAGGCAACATCTTAAAATGTCTGGGGTTTTTATTTGTATTTTTTTCATCAAAAGAGACGCCATTTGTTCCACGAAGTGCTTGAAAAACTATTTAAAACGATTAATTTTGAACAAAAAAGAAAAACCGCTCTTCTGAAGAAATAAATGTCAGCTGTTCAGATATCCGATGTATTTGCAGTGATAAATCGCCATAGTAAATATTTCTTAAGACGCTGTATTGAGAAACATTTGATAATGTGGATATTTTCACACACAAACTGAAGCTTGTGAGTATAAAACACATTAATATCCAACACCCAACAGCAGAGGCTGGTGCTCTGAGTTTTTTCAATAGTAGGAAAGCTCTATGTCTTCAGTATGCTGGTTGAATGCTTATCAGCTCTCCCAGGCCTAAAACTTTCCCGTAAGCAATACAGCAATTGAATACAGAATAGGACAATTTTTGCTGGCATATTTGTTATGGCCTATAATATCAAGTGCTGTTATGAGCAAGAATTAGAAAAACAATTTATCTCACTCTTTCGGCAGACTGTGGTTATGGGTGGCAGCTCTGCTTTTGAGTGACACAGTTTCAATCAACCTTCTCCCATTTCTTTTTCTTTCTGCTTTATGACAGTCATAACTGTCTTCATACTGTATGCTGTATGTGCAGCAGTCTAGCTGAGAGATAGTTGGCTCTCAATAAAGATTTAACAGAATAAATTGAAAATAATGTAAGCCAGAAGAGAGTTTTAGGGAGCGTGTCAACAGTCAGTCTCGTACGTAGACAGACAGCATTGGTGATTAACTGTCAGTCTATTTAAAAAAACAAACAAACAAAGAAACAGGAGGGAGCAGCTTTCTCTTTTCTCATGGCAGGCGTCTGCAACAGTCAGAGGAAACCAGTATGCAGGAAGTCATCTGCATCTAAATAAAGACCGCCAATGGCTTTGTCAGAGTCCATTAAGCAAATTGCCATGTTTGATGAATGCATCTACCATCTCTTTTTGTACCACCCATTCGTACCAATCAGCCAGAAGCAAAAATGACTTTTGTTTGCTTTCCTAAACAGGGAGGAGACCCTGTGAAAAAAGAGTCGCCTGAAATATCATTTTGATGCAAATTATGATCGATTTGTACGTTGTATGACGCGTGAGATGAGTTGCCTCATATCAGGTGTGCAATGAAATTCACTCACTCAAGGCTACTGAGACCTATCGTGATTAAAAATTGGAAATTGATGATCACTTTTTGCATGGATGCTAAATGAGACAATTATTACTTTCCCTTATTTAATTATTTATCCTCTGTGTCAGTTTGCACAAACAGCTAATTTTCCTCTGAGTGCTTAACGTCGTAACTTGAATGCAGCTATTTGGGTTTTGTTTTTTTTCTCGTTCTCCTCACGATTAAGGTGCTTGATTGTTCTTGCGACTCTGTGGCATCATTAGCGCCAGGTCTGGGTTATCAGTCAAAGCTGAAACAGCTTCGGGTTAATAGCTGCACTCACTCAGTCTACTTATTCATCTCTGCTGCTTCCAGAAAGCCTCATTTCCTCGATCTGCAGCTCACTTTCCTACTTTCTGTCTTTTTCCAGCACTGAAAACAGTAATGAGAATCCTTTACATGAATCAGGGGTTTCTAATAGTCTTTTTACTTTCAGTTATATAATTTTTACCAAAATAAGGAAAAAAATAATAGTCCCTCTGTACCTTATAATCTCTGATATTGTGAAATATATGTTAATAGTTATTGCACTGTGACAAAACATCGCACAGCAATAGTAGGGCTGAAATGACTAGTTGATTATCAGCAGCTGATAGTATATTGAATTATAGTAAATTGAATGCCTTTTCACCGCTGGTCAGAAAAACATTGCATTTGACAACATCATTAAAGAAAATTATTTGCTAAATAGGAGAATAAAGAAGCATTAAAAATCATATGTTTGCACGATAAAATATATGGACGAAACCACTGAGCCACACCTCTGTCTTGGAATTTGAGTGTTTTCAGTCCCATTGCCATAGGAGTATGAAATATGAAATCAAGTGTCTAGCCATGCAGTCTGCCTTCACAAACATTTGCAAAAGAATGGGTAGCTATATAGAGCTCGTTTTATTCACGTCGGAGAGTCAGCAAGTCATTTTATGAAATGTCTACGCTCCTAGATCTTCCACAATCAACTACAGGTGGTATTATTGCAAAGTGGGTGTGTTTAGGGACTGCAGCAACTCGGTCAACAAGTGCCACTCGTCAAGTGCTGAGGCACGTAAAAGTTACAGACTTTCTGCTAACTCAATAACTGGAGATGTACAAACCTCCTCTGGCATTAAAATCAGCACTAAATGTGTGCAGCAGGAGCTTCATAGCAAGAGTTTCCAGCTTCATGATAGAATAATAACAAGCACCAGATGGATAGGTGTAAGCATGCTGCCACCGGCCCCGGAGCAGTGAGATCATGTTCTGTGGAGTGATAAGTCTCACTTCTCTATTTGGCAGTTTCATGGATGAGTCTGCATTTGGCAAATGCTAGGAGAGCATTACCTGCATGACTGTTGTGTCAACTGTAATGTTTGGCACAGGTGGGATAATGCCATGGGGTTGTTTTCCGGGGCTGGCAGAAAAAGAAGTTTGGTGCAGGAGGACTTGACTGGCAGAGCTCTGATCTCACCTCTGAGGTGAATTAGAATGGAAACATCAGTATCCGTCCTCACAAATGCTCTTCTGGATGAAGGGCAAAAATTCCCACAGGTGCACTCTAAAATCTTGCCTGTAGATTTAGAATGGGATGTCATAAAAGCTCCTGTAGGTTTAATGTCTCCATGTGTATGAAGAAAACACACAAAAGTGTCTGAATATTTTTCTTGCAAATCTGAGGTCAAGCTTAAAGCTATGCACAGCATCATCAAGGAAAAACACAAGAAGCACAGAGTTGTGAAATTTAAATCCAAGTGTTACATCCTGAAGCTACAGATTCATCTTTGCTCATCTCACCTCCAAAGGTGCCATCAACATCCCAATACACAGACACACAAGAGACTATCAAGACCTCCAGGAGTCTGGCCAACATTATATCTCACATGTGCCTTCAATACTGATAATTCAATGTGATACCTTCTCCTGGTTGGAGGACAAAAAGCCCTACGGCGGCAGCAGAGGAAGAGAATAAGAAAAAAAGAAGTCGTCAAATCAGGCCAATTAAGTGGATTACGAGTTATCTGCAGCACGGCGTGTAATTGGTTTTGTGTTATCGTTGTAATGTCAGATAGGTACTAATTGAAAAGCCAGTTTATTAGTGGGCTGACAGTCTGCAGAGGGTTGGGCTATGGTTTTAAAGGTCTTGTTTCAGATAGCCTCCCAAATGATTATAGATAATAGGCTGCTTCTACTGAAGCTTGTGGTGCTCTGAGATCCAATCCCCCTTCCTGTTTTCTGCTGACTTCATTCTCCTTTCGCTCCAAGTCTCATGAGCATATAATTTAATTTTGTGGTAATAACGTGTTTTATTCCGATGTTAAGATTTTATTTGCAGTATCATGCACTTCTGGGTTTTTATTGTGCTCTTACAGTAGCAGTGTGCTTACAGTACTGTACTTGGCAAAAG